GAAGAAATTGGCACCAGACACATAAGCATTCTAATAAAAAGATATTCTTCTCAAAAAATTATGGGATAAAATCATTCTATTATTTGATCTTTCCCCTTAAATAGTGATTTAGTATGTGCAAACTTGAATAAAAATTGCATTAGAAGCTAGCTCAGTTTTTCTCACACAGCGATTTTCATTTCTGAAGCTGGCATCTGTAATAAAAGAGAGAGATGTTGAAGGGGCCTGTTTGCTCGAAGAGCTGTAATGGACACTCAGTTCTTCATAAGCTGGACTTCTTCACAGAAAGAAAAGTATGTGACTGTTGCTACTTTTACTATTGGAGAATTTCCATTTTTAGGTGCATTGCTGTGAGCCTTACTAATACTCACTTTTATAAAATGAGGATTCTGGACTCAGACCATGCAGCCCCAATGACGTTGTGGGTGGGAGAGAAAATGTTGTGGTTTTTTTTTTTTTCTTTTCTTTTTTCTTGTTCCTTTTGATTCCGTTGGATGCCCAAACAGGAAGAGAAAGAAGAGAAAAGCCGATCAGGAACCATGCCTAACGTTGTAGACCGATGCCCTGGAAATGCTGAATTTGCCCAATATCTAAGCCAACTAGAGTTGTGTTTACATAGGACATTAACCCATGAGAAAATACTCAAAGCCAAAAGCAAGTGGATATTTGGAGAACTGGTCAAATGTGCTTGGAACAAGTTGTTTATTTAGTTGTCTCCACTCTGCACTTTGAATTCAATACCCGCATCCTCTCCTGGGATCTTTCCTGGAGCCCAGAGCTCCAGTTCTCATTCCCTCTTTGTCACAAAACTGATGATGGCACTTTGACCCTTCAACGTCACCTTTCTTGGGCCCAGACTACCAAATTTGACTAAAAAGCTTGGAAAAGAGGTTTTTGGAAAGAAGAAGGAATGTTAGAATAATATTCAAGCCAGGTATTAAATAAATATTTAAATGAATTCAGTGGAACCTTTGTAAGCTGTCAAAGTCTACGCTATGAAAACTTCAAAATATTGTTATATCATAAGACATTTGGGGCATTACAAAGAATGAACAAGTTTTATGTTTTATGAATACTTAGAGAAACCAAGAGCCTAATAGTGTTTTCATATCCAATATTTATCAGTTCAGCATTGGGGAAAAGTTAAGCTTTACATCAAGTATTAGTTATGTTATATGTGAACTGTGTTATGTGCACTGCACTTCCTCTGAAAAGATGAATATACATTCAAATAATAGCTGCACATCTCGATTTAACAAATGCGAGGTTTTGGAGCAAGGTTACTTGCCTCAGGGGGTTTCAGAACGCGGCAGATTTCTGCTCGGTGCCAATGCATCGCGTTGCTGTTTGTTCCTTTCTGTCTTTGCATCACTCCCTGTTAGCATGAGTTATTTCACGTTGCTGGGTTACTGGTTCCTGATCTGCATTTTTGCCACACAGGGTTGTTGTGAGGATTAACTAAGATGATGGAGGCACAGTGCCTACTGCATGTTGCCTGGCACCTAGGAGGTCCCCAATAGTTTCAGCCGTTGTGGAGGGCACGGTGTGGGCACACGGAGGGAGGCAGCACTGGTCAGCATGCCCGCTGTCTCCCAGCCTGATGACTGCGAGATGCAGGGAAGAAATGGTAGCACAGACGGAGGTCTAAACCGAGAAGGAAGGTGCTGAAAGGCAGCTAGTCACTTCCACCTGGCGGACACAGGAGAGGGGCACGGAGGGGTGGGAGGCGCAGGCACAGGAGCTGGTGCTGCAGACTCTCCAGCGGGAAGTGGCAGTGAGGCCAAGCAGGCCCTGGCCTCTCCAGGCAGTGGCCCTCTCTGGCTGGCAACAGGCGGTCCGCTGGAGGGGAGGACAGCCATCATTTCCACCCGACTGCTGAGGCTGCCAAGGTCTCAACTACTATGTTTGGATTGTTTTAATGTTGCTTCCTTTTTGTATGAAATATATGGAATTTCTGTTATTCTCTGAAATCATAACAATAGTGAAATTAATATCTGGAAGGCTTTTTCATGTTTCTCCTTGCTGGGCTTTCATTTGTCACACTCTCTTGAGAAATGCTTGCCTGCTACATCTCAGGGGAGGCGAGGCCCTTACCGCAGTTGCATGAGGAAGAGAAAGGGGTGAGAAATGGAAGCCAAGCTTCTGCCTTGCTTAGGCTTCTAAGACCTCTTAGACGCTCCCATTTACAAAATTGAGAAGACACCTCCTCTGCCTTACAAAGAACGGGGAATTATACTCGTGAGAGAGCTATGAAAATCTTCAAGCCTAAAAACGAAGCCAATGAAAGGCGTCATGATTAAATAGATGTCGAAGGACTTAATGAAATGGCATTCTGTGTCCAAGAGAAACCTCTAGGTTCTATTAGGCCCCTCTTCATCTAGGTCTGCTGCCTGTAAATTTTCTTCACATAATTTAGATAAGAGCATCTTCCTTTCTTCTTCACAGAGTATTTTGTGTTGGGGGTAAGGTTTTAAAACTCTCAAGGCCTTATTTTACACGTTGAAAGTAATTTTTTAAATTGCAAAAAAAATTTGCTCCTTGCTTTTAATGAGATAATAGCATAATCAGTGAGACATGATACAAATATGATGAATTACACACCATGTAGGCCTGGTGAAGAACCTAGCAAAAGAAAATACTGCTGAAGTTCAGAGGAGAGGGAGGTTACAACCAGCTGCTAGGAACAGATAAATGGACAGGCAATTATCTGAGGGCAATTGTTGCTTATATGTGTGATTGTATTAAGGGAATAACAGGTTACTCTGCTTGGCCTCAGCAGAGAACAAAAGAAATCAAATAAAACAAAATAGGAAATCCTGTCACAACACAAGGCCTGGCATGCTAATACGACAAAAATAAAACGATTTTACACAGTTGTTATGCTCATTTGAGGACTAATGGAGAAAAAGTGTCTCATTTAAGATCTCAAAGTGAGTGACAGCAGAGGAAATCAGAACTCAGGGATCCTGATGACAATCCTGGCTCTAAGTATTTCACAGAATCAAGCATTTCTACCTGTAAAATGAGCACAGAGTAGCCAAGGTGGACTTGTTACATCAAAGTTAATATCTCCATACTATAAATCATAACCTGTTTGCTAAGCAGTAATGCCATTATGCAATTAGTATAAATCTGAATGAAAATGACTATGATGATTATTTGTTAAAATTACACAGGAGAAATGACAGCATTTTTAGATTCTCATATTTCACTTCTAAAAGTTTTTAGGCCTGCAAAGATAAAGAAGTACATATCTTTTCATTCAAGACATAAATAAAAAACAGAAAGGAGAGAAACAATCAGTGATTTGATGACAATAGAGACTTGCTTTAGAATTTACTATATAGGAAAAATCTTTGTAATTTTTTCTGGCAAAATAAATTGTATTTAATTAAAAATATGCTGGTAAATGCATGCAACTAGAGTGGCTGAATGATTACAATCTGAACACAAAAGTACCATTCTGCAATAGTATATTACACATCTGATGGAAGTTCAAAAGTTTAGTAGCCTCAAAATATTCTTTACACTGTGTAATTGGGTTTCTTTCTAGTTATAATACTCATGTAAATTACACTTTAACTTGCACATGCTGGATATATTATGATAGGGAATGCTGGGTCAAAATGAAGCAGCTGATTCTTTAATATCTCATTAGGCTAATGGGGTCGGGCCTGCCCAGTGAAGGGTTGATTAAGTAAGAAAGAGACGACATAAATTGTAGTGCAGTTTCAACAAATCCGAGCCAATCTGCAATACCCAGGCTGAAAAAAAAACCATTATTTCACAAAATACTTTTTAAAGAGTGAATTATTTGACCAAGTTGTATTAGGATTGTAAAACTTGTATTTGATACCAGGCATACTTTGTGTGAAAACGAGGACTATTGCCTATTTAGGGAAGCATTTAATAATTTATGTTTCTTTCTTTTATTTCATCAAATGAATCCCTGTCAAAGAATTTCTCTTCAAAAGATAGTGAGAATACGTGTTTAATTTTGGACAGCTCTGATGTTAGTGGTTCTGTATAGATTGTGTGCATTTTCCTTGCATGATCTCTGTACTTAGAACTGCACGTGGACTGAACTATCACTTTTGCATTTTTTGAAACTTGTCACCCAGCTTGAATAGCAGATCACTCTACAGAGCCCCATTACTAGCCTCTGGGTCTTCCTCCAGTCACTAGGTTTCTGTGAGGAGATACTGTATTTTGATAAATACATAACTGACCTACCAGTAAGGCAAAGTAACCTAGCAGAAATACAGTAATGTAAGTTTACTAAATGGTTACCTTGGAAGAGCCAAATATTTATGCTACATGTAGTGACTTTTAGAGAACAAGGGGTTCTGCCACAATTTTTATCATTGTCAGTGTGGACCCAAACATGATTTAGATGAAGTATTCCAAAGGTTACATTTTCCCACGCTTACCCCCTTCAAACGCAGTTAAGCTTTCTCCAGTTAAAAATGAAAGAAGAAAATGCTTTGATCCTCATCACATGTTTGTTCTTTACTGATAAAGGTACCCAGTATGTCAATTGTAGCCAGCAGCTTATTGAATAAAATCTATGAAGAAAAAAATGCAAAACTACAGTTTCTTCCCTGAGATAGTCTGGGAGCTCTTTCGGGAGTTTCCAGTAGCACTAACTGTCTCCCAAATTTCAAGAATAAAAAAAAAACCTCACTCTAAAAGTAAATGTCCAAATGCATCCACCCTCGAACAAGCTCCCCCTTCATTGAGGAGCGTGCTGTTTTCAGGTTGTGTCATGTCCCCTATGGATTTATGGTCATGCAGTAGGAAAAGCAGGCATGTGTTCTAGGTACCGATATAGGAAGAAACAGATGACTTTAGGGAATGATCCTCAAGGAATTACTTGGGGGAAAAGTATCTGGATTTACCCCTCTCAGTGTTCCCAGCCGTGGGATAGCATTGTTTGAAAACAGACAAAACAACACCAACTTCCTGGGACTGAAATCCTTTGTATGTGTTGTTGTTTGCAGTGCATGCCAAGACATTCATGAGCACCAGAGCCAAGCTGGCGAGCTAATTAAATATATATGTGTATGTGTTTAAAACAGCCTAATAAGGAGCGTTGGAAATCTTCAAGATGAGCGAATATCTTATAACTTCTTCCGCAGGTGCGAGGATAGCTACAAGCCATGGACTTTCTGTCCTGCTTCTTGTTTGTGGCTTTGTGAAGGGTGCTTTGCTTTAATCTAAAGTGCTGACTTTTTTCCAATATCACTTTCTCTTCTTAAAGCAAAGAGCAAATGGCCTGTAAAATCTACGGAGCGGACAGCAAAGTTGACCCTAAACTCCAAGCACCACCCTGCACCCACTGTACTCTAATTCACTCCACAAGGAGCGCCTGCTTCGGAAGCATAAATGAAGAGGCTATCACACGCTTTGTTGATCATATTTTCTTTGGCAAAACACTGATCTTTTATTTTAAGAGAATTAGTGTGAAGTGATAGGACATTTTCTAATAGCAAGACCTATTTTTTTTTCCCTTTTCTTTCGGCGATTAAAGTCACTCACTGACTGCTCAAGGGTTGGCCTGAATGTCATCGGGATAGGGAATTTTACTATGGATACCACTGATTTCCTACTAAAGGACCCAGTATCTTCAGGAAGCAAACAGAGATCAAAAGGCTACAGAACAGAAACTATCAACAAACAAAATCCCCTTTCCGGGGCAAGAACAAAACTGCAAGTCAACAAGAAGGACATTACGTTAAATAAGGAATGACACGTGAAAGAATTTTTTTTATTTTCCACTTTTTTCTTGGATTTTTCTTCTTTTTCTTGATTACAGTTCTTATTCAATGGTGGCAAGTGCTGGTTATGGCCAATCTCCGTCAATCCTAGGAGGTTTATAGAAATACATTTTGAGTGTTCTATATTTCAATGTATTTTAATTCATTTTGCAATTCCTGTATATGCAAACCTGACAAATTCTGTAAATTGCTTATAAAATCTGTGCTATAACTTCAAAGTAGATGTACTGCAACCCTCATGCAAGCTGATTTTTATCATTATATATATATAAATATATACTTAAGAATATCTATGTGTTGGGCCACTGACCAACTTATTTTGACAAATCATTTGTTTTTCGTTGATGATTCACATACTGCGTGGATTTTGTAACACATTGTTTCACTTCCGCAGGTCTGACAGCTGCAGACGGCCTCTGTTGTCCTCTGCTTCATTCTGGAAAGTGCATATTCAAAATTGTATCAGTCTGAATTAATTTTGTTATGTCTGTGCTAAGTTGGAATTTGCTATGTTCCTTTATACATGGTGTTTACTGAGGTTTGAGAGTCTCTTGACTCTGAAGAATGTACACTCGCTGGTTTTGACAGCTATTTCTGTATTATTATCATTATTACTCTTGTCAAAAAGAAATGTTGCTTCTAGAAAGTTTGCCTTGGAGGTGAATGTGGGGAAGGTGAAGCACTCACCCTAATTCCCTAAATTCATGTTAGAGCATTTCTTGCTATGGCTAAAAATGCTACTTCCTTTGACCTTTATGAATTTCCGTACCTTTGTCATTCTGTTCTTTGCTGCTAATTATATTTTAATGTCGCCTAATTAAAAATTAAAATTTGGTTGTTGGCTAAATACAATATGCAAAAGATGACGGCAGGTCCTCAACTAAAGAAGATTAATGTGTTCAGTTTTTGTTGGTTAAGTGAATTATAATTTTAAATATTCCATTCTTATTTTTGGCGTTATGATACTTCAGACTATTTTATTTTGAACCTGTTTTCTACTCTGGCAAAGAAAGATAGGCAGAACTATTAAAGTGTTCCATATACATTATGGAATAGATATAGCTTGAGAGATAAATGACCTAAGTTTTCCTTCCAGAGAGATTCTTCCATTTTCTCTCATTACAAAACCCGAAGATCAGCCATGTGGGGCCATCAGCTCCCAGCCTAAGGTCCTATAACCTGAAGCTTGAAACCTCTGCTTTTCAAAGGTAAATGCATTCATTATCTTTGATTCAGTTATAAGCAAGTGTATATTTTCATAATATTCTTGACATTACCTGAGGAATAATATTTCATGCTAAATCTTTTATTGCCATTTTTCTCATTCATTTGGTTTATTATTTCACTTTAATGAGAAAAATATAATAAAGGTTTGATTGCGCTATTTTATTAACCTAGAAATGTATTTTTTTCAAAGCATAATTTTTAAAAATGCATAGAGTAATGGCATACAAACATCATCTATTAAGTTTATCTGAGCCTTAAAGATTGCATACATTAAAGCATAAGTAAGTATACTGTTTTAAATTCAGTCAAGTTGGGAAAAATCTACACGTGATGTACTTTTACTCAAAATTTTGGTCATGAGATTGGCCATTTCTAAAGCAACACCGACTTGTACCTGTATCAGCGATGCTTACCATGCTCATAATCAAAGATGTATGCTCATTTGGGATGAGCTCACTAGGATCATTCTCTCAGTGTCCAAAATAATGAAGATTTATCTGTCACTGTGCCACCAAGAGTCCAACTCACTGGCCACTTTGAGAAAGAACGTGGTGCACGATTTGCCTCAAACTCAAGAAGTTAATATGGAACTTTAAAAATTGGAACAGAAACTAAAACAAATTAAGGATCCCTTTCAGAGATTTTAACCTTATATTTTATCTCTGGAACTACAACTTTGTAAATAAACATTACTATGAATATAAATAAAGATTTAAAAATCAGTTATCAGACATTCTCAACCTTGTTTCCAAGGTTATATAATGTTTATCATAAGAGAGAATCCTAAAATATTAATATTGTTTACTTGAATTTAAGTTGAATTATTTTGTTCTTTCTTAAAAACTTAAAAATTGCTTGTAAAAGAAAACACATGAGGGTAAAATAAAAAAAGATAAAAAGTAGCAGAAGCTGCTAATTGGAGTTTGTAATTAAGCTTTGTGGAGTTCATGAACCCACTGAAATTCTATGTATATTTCTGCATATCTGTTTTATGGAGATGGTCCTTCATATGGCCAATCAATTCACTGATTCTAAGTGATTTGATTATAATTTGCTGGACTAAAAGAAGAATGTTTAGATGATTTTGAGCACCTAAGAAGACTTGATAATTATAATTTTGAACTGGTTTGCCTTAAAGTTCTTGAATATAGTTTAAGAAGGTATACATGTGGATACGTGTGGGGACGGGACAAAGAAAACACATTTTTAAGGTCAGAAAAAAAAATGATCGCAATTTGTTATAAACAGCATGGACTAATTATATCAGATGATGTTGGTTGAATTTTCAGGACTAGTAATGGAATTTCGCAATGGATAGATAGATTCCATTCAAAGACGTGGTTCTGGTATTTATCCTATATTTTTTTAAAGTTAAAATATTAAACATAACTTAGTTTGTATAAGAAAAAATAATTGCAGGAGGTAAGTTAACCTGTCTAAGATAACATATAAAACTCTGATTATTGTATTTTGGAGTTAAGACTATGAAACCAAAAAATATGTGTGCACATAATTTCAAATATAAGGCCCAGGTAATTTTATTTTCAGAACTACTCATTAATTAAGGGAGCCCTCAGTGTTTTAAGAGTGTGAAGACTTCAGGATTTCAGCAATGAAATAGATAAGGCTCTTCCATAGATCTAGGGAGAGACAGATAGTAAACATTCAAAAGCAAGAACATGTAAGGTATTGAGAAATTCTAAGAAAACCAATAGGATAATATATAGGAGTGTGACTAGGAGGTCAGAGGAGGCTGCTCTGAAGAGGTGACATTTATGCAAATCTGAATAATAATAAGCCGGGCAAGAGATCTGGGAGCATAGCCTTCCAGGGAGAGGGAAGAACTTGTGCAAAACCCCAGAGGCGAAGTCCATCTAGGCTTGCTCAAGGATGAGAAAGAGGACAAGAGCATTAAGTGTGGGGAGAGTGGCAAGAGGCAAGATTATCAGGCAAGGGCACATCTGACAAATCCACACCAAGGAAAAAGCACAGGGCAGGGCAGGAGTGTGTGAAAATCTTAACATGAATGACTGTTCAAAATCAGGACGGAGGCTCTCTCCCCAGCCTCACCTCTTCAGGTGCTTAATGAACTTGTTAGCAAGACTCCTAGGGGCATAGCAGTGAGTCTTCCACCCAGGCTGCCCCTTTATATTGACACGACAGGGATTCAGGAGGCACGAGAGACTGTAATTTGTCTTTCTAGTGCTAATTTACAACTGTCATTTTGAGGAGCAAAAGGAAAGAGTGAAAGATTAGGACCGCTTTGAGTGGAGGTGGCACTGAACTTGTTGCACTAACTACAAATGCAATTTAAAATAAAAGCATGAGTATATAAATTGCAAGGACAGGTGGACAGAAAGAAGAGACTGACTCCTAGACAGGTGCTGGCAAAGCAGTGTAATTAAAAAGGCAAGGAAGGGAAGGGAGCTACCATATATACCCCCCACACACACACACACACACATTATCAGGCATTCAAAAAATGAGATCTTACAATACAAACCCCAGAGGACCGTGGATTACAGTGTTGTCAGGGGAGAAATATTGTGATAAAATCATTTCATACTTAGTTATGTTTTCATTGTTAAAGAAATAGACCATTCCGAGGTAAAGCTCAGAGAGTAGCATGTATGTACTCTTCTTAAAATATACATTGGCTTTATGATCCAGCTGAGATAGGAATCAAAGGTGAGGCTGAAAATAAATAGGCATAATATAAACTGTCCACCAGATTGTGTTAAATCTAAAGAATGGTTCAGTATTTTATTGTACCTCACTGTATGTAAAAAGAAACAAAACAATACTTACCCTTATTTTGTATATGCACTGCATTATATTATTTTCTATTTTGTTCTGTTTCTTTTTTTGTTGATGCTTGACACAAAACATTAAATTGGTTTTGCAATCTACAATTTGAAATAAAAATCACAGATGTATTTATTCCAAGATAGAATACCAGTAGCAAACATAATTAAATGAGAATATATCACAGAAAACAATAACTTGAATTCTACACTCTTACTGTGTTATTAAAAGCCAGGAAGTCAGAAATGATTCAAAGAAGAAAAAGAAGGTATTATTTGTCCCCTGCTAAAAGTGGTTGTGACTCTTGTTGGCATTGGGAGGTGGTGGGGCTGCTTTTCATGTCTGTGGTTTTTGTGTGTTGCTTTGGGTTATTGTTCTTTTGTGGTTTATCATCCTTTGAACCCCCTTTTTATTTTGAGTTATCCCCAACCCCTAGTGACAACTCATGAGGTAAGAAGACATTTCCTTCTTTAAAACTTGAGAAATGCATTGGAGAGTAGCATGGCAGCCCATGAGTCCATCCATGCTGTCCCCAGTACCGAGAGAGTGAGCAGAGGACTTCGCAGCGGTGCTGAGTCATCGCTAGTCTGACCAAGTTTGAATGGTGCGTGGCCCATGGGGTTTCTAGGGAGGAAAGAGAAGAACAGCCTTCTTGAAGACATGCTTGATTCGTATAACCTCATAAGTAATGGTTCTCCAGTTCTTGAAAGCAGAGTTTTTGGCCACCACAATAAAGTCACACCCCCAATCCAAACCCACCAGCAGAGTTCATAAACCTAGAGCACCATCACTGAAGAGTCCACTGGCCCCAACGATAATATTCCCTGAGTGTACTGGGAGTATTACTCTCAGCCTCCCACAAAGAGAGGACCTTTGGAGAATATCAGAGAAAAAGAAATACACCTCGCTGTGTTATCAGACAATGGCTCAGAACTAACACTACATCTTGGGGTCACTAAGTTGCCTTAGTCAAAGATTTAAGGGGGCAGGGGATTAATAGAATACTTAGAGTCCTTAAGAACTATGTAACCACTATAACATATGTAATGTTTCTGCAGCTTCTAATAATACAGTTGAAAGGTATACCTTAAAGATGGAAGAAAGTCGAAAGGTATTCCTTAAAGCTAGAAGAAAGTCTGTGTTGGTTCTCTGTCCTGTAAACACTATAATTTTATGACGGGCCCGGGAATTTCTCCTCTGTACCAAAATAGTCAGTAAAAAACAATGTCTTTTCCCTGGAGGAAACGTGGATCTCCCTTTCTTTGGTAGTACCCAGGGCAGCGGAGTCCTCACTCTGGGTCATCAGAGGCTTGCTTCTGGGCTAAGCACAGTGGTTGCTGCTGGTCCTCATGTGGTCTACTTACTGGAGCAAATTAGCACAGTTCGTGGCTCCTGTCCTATAGTCCACAGTTTGGTAATTTTCCACCTTACTGCAGTTATAATTTTAAAAAGAGGTGCCTGGCTTGTTTTTTGTTGTTGTTGTTGTTTTCTGTTTTTTTTTTTTACTTGGGAGGATGGAAGTACCTTTACGTTAGAATTTTGCCTCCAAGTTGCATTGACTTTCCAGATCTGAGCCGCAATTTAGTCAGTCTGATCATCCCCTAGGATGTCCTGTTGATAAGATCTGGAGATCAGAAAGAAGCAGCACCTTAGAGGCCTTTCTGTATATTTATATACACGCTCCACAGGATAGAAAAACGTTATAAAATACATGAAGCCATGGATGGTTCCAGAGATATCTTTAAACATTCGAGGAAGTAACAATTCCAGTCTTTCACCAACTATTGCAGTCAGTAGAAAGACAAGGAATGCTCTCCAATACATTTTATAAGGCAGGCATTACCTTGCTAGAAGGTCTGAAAATTACAGTGTGAGAGAAAATAACATTGCAGGTTAATCTAACTCATGGATGTAGTAGCAAAAATCATCCACAGAATAATGGCAAAACAAACCCAGCAATATATAATAGATCACATGAAATATACATGGTTTATTCTAGGACTCCAAAGTTGGAAAAACCAACAATAAAATGCTCAAGTCTATATTGGATTTCCCCAGAAACAGACACAAGACAAGAATTTGAGTTTAATCAATTTATTTAGGAGTTTCAGGAACCACCAGTAGAGGAGGAGAAAATAAGATTTAAAAAAATTTAACAGAATGTGTTATCAAACTAGCTACCACTGCAAGCAAAAGGAGTTTAATCCCGCAGAGGTTTCAGACAGCATGAAATACACATCTCAGGGTGATCTCCAGCCAAAGGAGAAGCTGAAATATATAAATACCAGCTCCTGTCAGTCGTTGGTTGTGTGTGCCGGCCCTGGTAGGTAAAAAAGGAAGTTGGGGGTTGATACCCA